CTTTGAAGATGATCACTTGGTGATCGAAACACGTGTTGAACGGTTAAAAATAACGATTTGGTGTTGGGAAAAAAATTCCAGTAATATTATAGGTACATTTCCCGTTATGTTTTTGGCGTCGTCGGCATCGATAATTATGGTCATTAGTTTTCATCAATCAGAAGTTTTCTTGAACAAACTAACTACATAATCTTCATATCTGTTCCAGGTAGATACACAGAGTCAATAGAGGACTACAAACTAACCGTGCCACAAAAACTAACACGCGATGGTGAGTTTGCCTCATTCGAGCTACCACAATATTTCGAACATGACATTACGAAGAAAAGACGACGAAGAAGTAACGATGACGAAGATATCGCTCACTATGGAGTGACGTTGAACGGGCAAGATTACCACGTCGAACTTTGGCCAAATCATGAGTTCATTTCACCCGACTTGATAGTTGAACGTAGAGATCCAAAGTTGAGGGCTGGTAGCGAGAGGCTGAAGAGATTGGATGAGAAAGTTTGCCACTATACAGGTCATGTCCGGGGTCATAGGAATTCGAGGGCTGCTCTATCAACCTGCGATGGTTTGGTAATGTATCATTCACTTCATTCGTTTTTCAGGACAAAACATACACAATACAGTACACTATAGTCTCACATGAGATTCTATTGAACAAACTCTCTACATTTGGAATTCAAGGCCATGCATTGGACTTTGTTAACGCGTAAAAACTCGCCGGCCGTACGCCTATGACCTTTTATACCTGGCATGAACCCGACACTTCAAAGTTCACAGCACACCAGTAATAAAAAAGGAGAAAAAGAGTCAGTGTGTTGTGTCGCGTGATATTGAAAAACAGAAACTCGATTTTTCTATTAGAGGTATTCATCCAGAAATCTTGTACAAATTCAGTTATACGTTTCTATAAAAACCACACAATCTACAATCCACTTACTACCCAACATTTGATCCGGCTCGAAGGACCACATGTTAAAGCCTGAAAACTCGCTGCCGGACGCCTATGGCACTTTATACCTGCCATGCAACCCGACACTTCAGAGGCCTCTGGGAGGCTGGAGTGAAGTCTACGAAACATCATTTGAAGCGGGTTGCAGGTAAAGCACATTTAACATTTGAGCAGTTTTATTCCTTGCTGCTCAATTCACGTCCTCTCTATCCATTATCGTCCGATCCTAGTGATTTGAATCCTATAACAACTGCCTATTTTCTGAATTTCACTAGTTCGGACTTCCATTGTCTACTATATAAAATGATTTGAAATCCCTGAAACAAGTAAAAAAGAACAATTAAAAAAGGATAGCTGAAAATAACAATTATATTAAGCAACAATAAACCTGAAATGAAATGATAGTTCCCTTATTGACCAGACCGAGGCAGAAGAGTTCAGATGGAAAATTAGAGAACAGTTGGATCGAGAACCAGTTTCAACATCTAACATCAGCAAGGAAGAACGTAGAGCTCTGAACGGTCTACGTAGAGACAACACCATCAAGATACTACCTGCAGATAAAGGAAACGCTACTGTGGAAACGTTCTCTACGAACAGAAGATCGAAGAGGTTCTGCAGAAGGGACATTACACAAAGATCGTATGGGACCCCACTGCATCAATCGAAAGGAAGTTGTACCAGATTTTGAAAAAACACCAAGTCTATTTTTCGGACAAGGAAAGATCATGGCTAACACTGCACCACAGTAAGCCCCCTCACTTGTATGGTCTACCCAAAAATCCACAAGAAGGACGTTCCGCTTAGACCGATCATCAGCTCCAGAGATTCGGCTACTCAAAACTTGTCTAGATTTTTACTTCCCACTATCATTTCATTTCAGGTTTATTGTTGCTTAATATAATTGTTATTTTCAGCTATCCTTTTCTAATTATTCTTTTTTACTTGTTTCAGGGATTTCAAATCATTTTATATAGTAGACAATGGAAGTCGGAACTAGTAAAATTCATCACGAAACATTGTCAATCACCTTCAAACAAATGCCTATTTTTGATTGGAAAATCCTTGACTAACCTTTCCGATTTGGACTTGAGATATGTTCCGGAAAATCGACCATCCTATTACCCGAAGCTCCAACAGCTCAGGCAGCACTTTTGGGATTGCTGGAGCAAGGAGTACGTTGCAGAACTTCAGCACCGCGTCAAATGGCGAAATCGTCAGAGCCAGCTACGAACGTGACATGGTTTTGGTGCGAGAGGACAATGTACCTCCGTTGAGATGGCGCCTTGGGCGCATCATCGAAGTGTTTCCGGGAAAGGACAATGTAAATCGAGTTGCTTGCATGAAGACTGTTAATAGGGAATTCAAGAGGACATTTTCAAAATTATTTCCTCTTCCTATAAATAGTGTGTGAAGGTTCATATTAAAGGGAGTACTTCAAGGTAGGGGGCATGTTAAAGCCTAAAAACTCGCTAGCTGTACGCCTGTGGCACTTTATACCTGCCATACTTCAAGGGTCACAGCCACCAGTGAAAAAAAGGAGAAAAAGAGTCAGTGTGTTGTGTCGCATTATATGAAAGACAATTATTAGAAACTCGATTTGTCTATTAGATGTATTCATCCAGAAATCTTGTACAAATTTAATTATACGTTTCTATAAAAACCACACAATCTACAGTCCTATTACTTGTTGCGGGACTATTTGTCACAACGGACAACTCAGTGAGCTATTAAATACATCTATTGGTGTTCCACAGGGAACAGTTTTGAGCCCAATTATGTTCCTTGTATATAACGTATATATCCCAAATATAAAATTTCAATAGCCATATCATTTTTTACGCTGATGATCTCCAATTGAGCTGAGGAAGAACTATAGAAATTAAAAATCTGATTCAACAATAACCCATTCAGTATCAACATGAAAAAGACAAAATGTATGTATTCTTCATTAAACTCTGAGGAGCAACCCCCTATCAACAAACTCAGAATATACATGCCCACCTGCAGGTGGCAGCGTCTATAAAATATCTGGGCGTAGTTATTGACCAACATCTAAGGTGGGAAGATCACATTTCCCAAAGTATAAAAAGGCTGAGACTTCTCATGTTCAAATTCTACACCCTTAGGGAATACTCTCCCGAAAAAATATATTAATTTTATATGATTCCTTGGCAGAATCTATTCTCAGGTATTGTATTGTTGTGTGGGGANAGTGAGCACAGGTATTTAGAAACACTGGTGGTTGCTGATAAGAAATTTCTGAAACATCATGAGAATAAGGATGTGGAGTTATATATTATGACAGTCATGAATATGGTGAGTAGGTTGAGAATTATACTTTATGGTTTGGTCGTATTCAGAGTTGTCAACCATATTGGGCGCTTTGGGTATCATTTTAGATTAGTCATAAAGATCAATTCGAATGATGAAGTACTACAGTCCATTTTTCTGTCATACACAATCCTATTCTGTCTTTTCTGATCAATTTCAAAATGGTGGGACAAAGCCATATCCAAATACTTAGTGAATCACATGAATAAATTCAAAATTTTTCTCGATTGTCAGACATGTTTGAAAAGTGGTTGTGACTCTTGTCTAAGCTGGATAGATTATGCTGATAACATTGTTCGAAATACAGACAGTGAACGTATGTCATCTTCAATAGCTCATATACTGTAAAACATCCGATGATATTTAATTAAAATTCATAAAATTCAACTGGATTTGAAAAATTGTTAATATCAGTAATGAAGATTCAAAAAAGTTCTGTCCGTTTTATGAGTTTACTCTGAACTGTAATATCTCAGTGAATACTTATTCAATTTAATCGAAATAGGCGCCACCGATGCACCAGCATGATTAATTCTGTGGGTCTACCCGACCCTCCACCGCAACCCAAAAGGGTTTATTGTGGCTTACACCTATTCACACTTGACCAAATAAATCCAGCTTCTTAACGAAGCCGATTAGTTTGTATGGTGAGTGGTCTTTCAGGCCAGATGGTAAGGCTCTGATTCGGTCCTCAGCGGAGCAGGCACAAAGTATGTGCTCTGCTGCTTCATCATTTTTCAAACAGAGGTGACACACACTGTCTTCCGACAGTCCGAGTTTCTGCATATGATGACTCAAATGACAGTGACCTGTAACAAGGCATGTTGGACATCGTAGTTCATCCCTACTGTAGTCCAACAACTGTTTGGTATCAAGCTTCGAAGGGTGAATAAACTCCTTGGATTGAGCCAATCCTGGAAGATTTTGCCAGAAGTCCATAAATCATCTTACCATCCAGATATTCAATCTTTGTTTGGCAAAGCCTCAAGCGATGCCAATGACAGGTTTATTTAAGTGATATACTGATGTCAACGATCTCATGGATACAGACTTGAGATTATTAGGTGACATCTTCTGAGTGAAACACCTTGAGTTCTATCTGAATAAGTCTCAGCTGATTTCATGTGGGAATTCGAAAAAAAAACTGAAAATATCTGATAGTATTCCAAAATACGAAGTCCGCCTATTATATAACGAGAGAAGGCGCCCTAGAGAGGTGGGGAAAAAACGAGTAGTGCGATGGTCTCTATTTACGCACCAAAACACGTTTTCGGTACTATTATAGTATTTGTGTAGAAGCGGTTTGAAACAAACGTGTTTTTTTCTAATGCCGAAAACCATAATATGTGACGAAAAAGAGGGGCAATGTATCAATCTCAAATTTCTCGTTGAATTGAAAAAATCTCCGACTGAGTGCTACACATTGTTGCAAGAGGGCCTAAGGGACAATTCTTCATATAATGCGCGTGTTTTTGAATGGTGTAAGCACTTCAGTTAGGGTCGGAAAGCAAGGATGTTCAAATCAAAATTTAAGGCAATGTTGATCGTTTTTTTCGACATTGAAGGTATCGTGATGCCTGAATGGGTTCCAGAGTGTCAGACTGTCAACCAGTCAGTTTTGGCAAAAGAAAGTTCTCAAAAATAGCTTTCATTCTGATGTTGGTATGCAATATTTTCGAGATTATATATTTTACCAGTACTATGTTGCTGTATCGCTGCTGTTTCAATATTTTGACAGAATCAGAATCAACGAACTTAGGTGTGCGCAGCGTTACAGAACAGTGCTTTCAAAAAATTGTTCTACAGCGCCTTATAGTGACGAGTTACAGAAAAATTGATAGCCTAAAAACCTTCTCTATGAAAAAGTACTTATACATGTCAAGTTTCATCACGATCGGTTGAACGATGTAGAAGTTTATCACTTACCAACCAACCAACCAACCAACCAACCAACCAACCAGCCAACCAACCAACCAAACAACCAACAAACATCCATTTTTGTACAGGGCTATTCAAATTCGTTTCTGTACATGGGGATCTCGTAAACGATAAGAGATAGAGTGTCAGTTAAGTTGTGGCAAAGTTGTGTATTTTAGAAACATATTCAATGATGTAAAGAAATCGAATATAGCTCTTTTGGTTCTGGAGATATACAGGAAAAACTTGAAAATCTGTCCACAGTTTGCTATTGGCACTTGATGTGGGCTCTCAGAATATATCCATGAATCTTTTAGACATGGTATCATCTGACTAAGGTCACCACCATCTTTGAATTTTTAAATACGGA